TGAACTATGCAATTATAATAATACACTGAGGGTACGCACTCAGTGTAAATAAAGCGCATTTATCTGCAGTCCTCAATGTATGTCTTTTATTTTTTTCAGTCACTTTGAAGTTTTTTTTATGTAAACAAACGTGAAAATTAGTAGCTGTTTCCAAAATCTTATTTCTTTTTTTTAATACTTTTCTATATATTATATAGGGTTGGGGGCTGACCTTATTTCTTACTTGATGAATTCTTTTACCAACCTTCATGACATTATAATGAGCACGTTTAACCAAACGAATGAAGCGTTGAACTGTTCACTTGTTTCTTACATTTCAGTTGAAGCACTGTTCATTTCTAACATGTTTCAAATTTTCTGTGTTTTACAGACTTTCAACTCCAGTTGTAACATTTCCTGAATGATAAGTGTGAAGTGCGCAGCCTTGTTGACGGCTCAGAGAGGCCCATGGCCCCGGCCCTGACCAAAATCCTGAAAAATGGCCACGGGATCCACTTGACCTCCCCTCCTGCCCCTGACGCGGTGAACTCCGACCCCAGAGACACGACGTGCGCCGTGGAGCTGGAGCCTGGCGTGCGATCTGCAGATGACGGCGACCTCCAGAAAATGATGAACCTTTGCTTGTTTCACTCTCTGGACTCCTGCCTTCCCCTGAGYCTCCTGGATCCCCCTGCAAACCTCGGACTGCTAACATCTACCCGCTCCGACGAGACGGCGCCCCTCGCCAGCCCGGGTTCCCTCGTCAGCTTCCTTTCCTTCAACAAATGCCAGACAGAGTCCCAGCAAGGGGTTGCTGATTTCCCAGGTGTGCCGGACGTGTTTTTAATCCCTGTCCCCGAGCACAATAGCCAAGAGGCTTGTCTGCTGCACGGACAGAGTGCTGTTCCTGAATGGAGACCAGATGGTGGTGACGTGCATCCCTCCCATTCTCGGGTGCTTCCGTCTCCGAGTCGCACTCGAATATACGCAGCCCAGCCTGCACTGATGTGTGAGGGATTAGCAGGGCCGGCCTGTCGTCCTCCTCCAGTTTCTGTGCAGCCTGACACGTTAAACCTCGACCAGGTGGGGTTTAAAGCTGGGCTAGAAGAGCAGCTCTCCAAGCATCAGGGTCTACAAGACAAAGCTTGGAGGCTGCAGAAGAGACTGCGAGCCCTACTGGGAGATCACGCCTCGCTCCACTGCAGCCAGCAGCTCGAGGGGCTGCAGAAGCGTCGTGAACTCGGAGATGCGTCCCTCGACAGTCTAGGCTGTGCGCAACGCGCTTTAGTGGATCCGCAGGCCTACAGTGATGCCGTGTTTTCTGAGTCCACCGCTTGGCCTTCCCTCACAGAGGTCACAGAGTTCTGTGACTCCAGCCAGGTGGTGCTGAGAGGCCTGCTGGAGGCCCTGGACTCGGAGGCCACGGGCAGCAGCAGCTCAGACGACGAGCCAGAGGAGGACGCGGATCGTGGCAAGAGATCATTTGTGTGAGTATCAGCTAGTTATAATTCCCTTTAATGCTACTATGTTTGACGTTAGCCGTCTATTTATTTAGSATGGCTAAAAATGTAACATTTATGACTTGTATTAAAGTGGTACGTGTCTCGAAACGCAATAAAATCTGAGGCCTGGTTCCTTTTTTTTAAACTGATCTTGAAATTCGAGGTTTATTTCTTTAGCACATCTGTGGCTATCGTGCTCGCACAGCTGGTCCTTAAAGTGAAATAAACCAGCTAGAGATGAGAACGAGAGTCTCTGGAAATCCACTGAACCATAAAACCGGATCATTTCAGTGTCTGGTTTGATGTTAACTGCTGATGCTGAAGAACATTCACACACAGCGTTAGGAACCTGAACGCAGCTGCTGCTCAGGCTGGAATCATCCGCCTGGTTAATGGTCAGGCCAGTGAGGAGTGCACATGGTTGGATTCTCCCTCTGGGCTTGTTTCAGGAAAAGAAAGGTGCTTGGAAGAAGAGCCTAATATACATATATATATAT